ATTTTACTGTTACGCACAGCGCTTGTTTTCAATTTAATGCCGCGTATTTCACCTGAAAAAATGCCGGAATTTCGACGTTTGTTTTTTTGTTTACCCCCACAAATTTCCGTCTGGCCTGCTGGCGCTACTTGGCTTTGAGGCCACATCCCCAAAAGTCGGGCTTTTGTTTGCTTAACTCAATTTTATTGTTCGGTTTGCAAAAAAAAACAAGGAAGAACGCTATAGTCGAGTACCTCGACTATCAGATACCCGTTACTCAAGGGAAATGGAGGTATGCAGCAGCAAAGCGAGATTAAAATGCGCCACCAACGGCGGTAGACAGATTTAAGCGTTATGGGCGTTAGAGTGGGCGTGGAAAATTTATTTTTGGATCAATCGATAGGTATTGACGACACCAATACATTTAAGTTAAAATTTCTTATCTAGCATGCAAATTGTGGGCGTCACAGGTTTTCGCGGCTTGTGGGCGTTTAAGTGGGCATGGCAAACTTTTTTTTAGGTCAATCGATAGGTATTGTTGAAAAAATACATTTCAGTTAAAATTTTCTATCTAGCATCAAAACTGTAGGAGTTACAGTTTTGGGCGGCTTGTGGGCGTTAGAGTGGGCGTGGCAGTCTACTGAAACAAACTTGCGCTGCGTAAGAAGCTCAGGAATCTGTACGCCAAATCTCAATAGCCTAGCTCTCATAGTTTCCGAGATCTCAGCGTTCATCCGGACAGACAGACGGACAGACGGACAGACGGACAGACGGTCAGACGGACAGACGGACAGACGGACAGACGGACAGACGGACATGGCTAGATCGACTCGGCTAGTGATCCTGATCAAGAATATATATACTTTATGGGGTCGGAAACGCTTCCTTCTGCCTGTTACATACTTTCCGACGAATCTAGTATACCCTTTTACTCTACGAGTAACGGGTATAAAAACAGCAGATTGAAGCGTAAAAAACAGCAAAAATTATGTGTGTCAGCGGCGGGCAGGGCTGCGAAAATGAAACCTCCAAATTAACAGGGACAACAACAAGAAAAGAGGTCGCCTTGTTTAAACAAAATAAACAAATAAAGAGGCAGCAACAAAAGGTGAATTCAAAATGTTTTTTGCCATGTGAGAAAAAGCCTCCAAAAGAGGCGGAAGGGGCCAGAAATTGACTCACCTCACGCAATGCGAAAAAAACACCAAAAAAAATGGCCAAAAAAAACAGAAACAGAAACTACCACCTTGAACAACAACAGCTAACAACAATCCCAGGCACTTGTCTGATTTTTTCGGACTGTCCAAAAATAAAACCAAAATAAAAAACACACTCACACGCATAAAGGTCGTCTGGCAACGTCATGGGCAAATATAGTATAAACTAAAAAACAAAAAAAAACGAAAACAAATCGTAAAAAACGAAACAAAAATGTAGGCACAAAAATATTGAATAATAAAAATGCGTATGAGTGTGTGAGCCTGGTGATTTGTTTTGATTTCATTTCGCTTATGGTAAATGAAGATTTTAAATACATATTGCGCATACGCACCGTGTCCGTTTGGAAACTGGTTAAAAAGGCGAAAACCAGAGCGCTTACCATAGATACACCCATCCATCGATCCATTTTGGGGCCAAACAACACTTGTCATTACACGATTTCCTTTTGTTCAAATTGTATTTACCTTCGCTTTGGTTTTGTACTTACTTTTCTTTTTCAAGCGAACATTTCCGCTTTTGTTGTTGCTGTTGACATTGGCTTGAATAAGCGTAGATATGTGCCATAGAGAATCTTGGCCCTTATCGTGCAAACTGATAAGCTAAAGCTCTTTGGCCAGGCACACACAAAAACCTCAATGAAGTTCTGGGCCAACGAAACCAAAAACCCTCCACTCTAATCACAGAAATCAGCCAACGACTTTGGTTCTTTTTGTTCGTTTTGGTGTTTTTTTCGAAGGGGCTTTTATATTATTTTTTGCCTGCGTATAAATTACACTTGAAAATTGTGTAGATTTTGATTGGCGATATCTGTGGGGCCTTTTTTTATGGCTGGCAGATTGCAGGCCACCAAGTCGTCGCTTTGTCTCCCTCGAAAACTCGCACTTGCGCTTTCCCTGGGCAATTTGGTGAAAGTTTGCCGAACCCAGGCCGAAAACAAAAGCGAATCTCGAGCACGTGGCTAATTCAATAAGCTTTAATTGCAGGCTACAAAATTGTAAACTTCAAGATACAAACTGCAAACTGCAAAATGCCAAACTTCAAACCGCACTGCAAATCAAGTTGAAATGGAGCTGCAGCCAGCGAATTTCATGCAATTTTCCACTAATTTCAACCGCCACATGCAACAAACAAACACCAAACAACCCGACAACCAACTGAGTTCGAGGCATATCATATCGCATCTCTTACTTCCTGACACTGCAATGTAATTTTTGCTTTCAAACCTCTTTTCCTCGACTGTTGATTGCGGCCAGGCCAACGTGGCCAAATAATGCCAAATAGAAAAGCAGCAAAACAGCAAAACAGCAAGACATTTCCCAGGCTCAAGAGCCGAAATCGGGCGCGAATATATCGCATTTCAATCACGCGCTCTGGGGCAATTTACGTGCGGCCACGCAGCGAGTAGGCCGAAAAGGCAGCCGGGAGACCTGGTCAAAAGGCAGCCACAGCCACAGCCACGGCCAGCAAAATGCAGCATCAACAATGCAACATCAACTGCAGTTTATTAAGTTTTTCCAGCCACAGCTCCAAAGCGGCGCAATGGGGCGGAAAGCAAACGGCCTAACGGTACGGATTGGTGCGCATTAAACGGCCACATCGTGATGGCCAAAACCCCCTTCATTTTCCGGCAGGCACGCGCCTTTTGCCGGCCGGCAAAGCTTAAAAAGAGGGGGAAAGACAGCACACTGGGAGAAATTTGAATAGAAAAATAAATATCTCTTTATCAGTAGTGTAATTAAATACCAAAACATAATAATCAACACAGAATGTATTTAGTTGCTTGATTTATATAGAAAAGATTTGAATCAAGTGAAAACATCTAAAGGTTTTTACTTTTAAGCATTTATCAGTCTATTGAATTTATAAAGTAGTATTAAATATTTTAAATAAATGTAAAAAGTTGTTTTCAAAAAAAAATATTAAATTAAATCTTAAATAAATAAAATGGAAATAAATCAGTTTAAAAAAATATAAATCAAGTTAGAATATATTAGATACCATGTTTATCAGATATACTTTCAACATTAATCGCCTTTAGAAAAAAATATTCATATTAAGATCAAGTTATAATTTCCTAAATTAACTATAATTATTCAAATTTATATTTCCATTAAAACAAAAAATCTTAGTACTTACTACCTGTTTTTACCAGTGCACAATGACAGCAAAACAGCACTGATTCTCCACGGCTTCTCGAGGAAATGTCGATTTATGCGCGAATTTACTTTTATGCGATTAGCAACGATCTGCGGCAGAAATTTATCGTCGAGTTTAGTAAATTTAATTGGGACGGAAATCCAGGCAAAGGTGCCAGAGCATTAGACAAAAGACTAAAACCAGGTAGCCGAGTAATAAAGTTTTATGGCCCAGCTCTCTGGAACTCTGGCCAAGGAGCCTGCATTCAGCCAAGTGCAGTCTTGGCCACAAAAGCCCGCGGCTCTTCACATTGCACAATGGAGCGGTGGAGAGTACGGCTGTGTTCACTGTTTAGTGCTTCTTGGCCCAAAGCAGATGGCCGGCAGATAACAGAGCTGCAGAATTGCAGGGGAGAATGCTGGCAGTAAGCCGCTTAAGTCTAAGCATCAATAATTGCATCGGTGCATCTCTGGAAGATGGAGTTCTATCCATGGCGAACCAGAACTCCAAGGAACCCAGTTAATCCTGGCACGCAGCAAGTGTTGCACCCAAACCCTTTGAACGACGACAAGTGGTTGTGGCCATGACGACGTCTCAATAGCCATAATACCACGCTCCTAACTCATTGATCTTGGCCTGGTGGGAGGGTAGCACACTCAGCTTGATTATGGCTGGTATGCCAAATCAGTTTTTCCGTTTCAAATGTTTTGAATTTATGAGAGTGTCGCGTCTTTATGGTCATCCCCCCATCGCCATTGTACACGGTTGCCTTTGTTCAATTCACTTGAGCTTACAAACAACGCCAAGTTCATAAGGATTTTCGCCGATTTAGCCAGCGAAGGTTGCGCCAAGGTTAACTTAAAGTTAGCTTGGTTGGAAAACCCATCAGATCTGGGAAATCTACCGACTGACTGGCTGACGTCGCTTCAAATATGTGAGGCCATCGGAAGGAGGCCAATTAATGACGAAACAATAACACACACACACAATGGGCGGCAGTTCAGCGGAATTTAGTGGCCACAGAAATTAGTTAAATGGAAAAATAGTTTAGCGATGTTTTGCATTGAAATGCCGCCCGAGGCGATTATCGCTGAAAAGACCTCGGGGCATTGTTGTTGTGAAAATTACAACGATGGGCGGCTGGCTTTGATGTTGGTGGGCCAAGCCAAAGCAGCCGCTGCCTGCGTGTCTATATCTTTATCGGCCAGTTCTAGCTTCTATATGTAGATGAGCGCTTGTGGGGGTGGCTGATAAAATCAAGAATCAAAACTGGGTCAATGCTTAGAGCTGGAATTGATTTGCCAATGATGTGGGGGTTGCTTAGAAACTTTGCTGAGTATAAGTAGGTCAACATGATTATAATATTTGGCATACCATAATGGATAATGAAGATTTATTCTGTATTCGTTAGAACAAGGTTAAAATGTAATCCATTACTGCGATTCCCTTATCAAATAATATTTGTAGGTCATGATAACAATGATATTAGCAGTAAATGGTAAAGTAGGTCATCATGATTAAATGATATATCATAAAATATATTGTATTGTTGGATAAAAACAAGTAGTTATTCAATTACCTCAATTCCTTTAAGATATTATATATCTTAAATTTATATCCCTTACAAACTTAACTAATCCTATATTTACCATCCTATCTTTCAGTCAACGGAAACGTCCGCCCAGCGATCCGCAGGACAGCTACGAGGAGACATGCCGTGCCGCCGAGATTCTGTCATCGATGAAGCTGCAGAGTCCGCATGGCTGTAGGTCATCCTCCTGACCCCCGAACCCGCCCCTTTTGACTCTCTCATTAATATTACCAATTCCACAGCAATGGCCGACAAGTGCTCGAGTCCCGGCAGCAGCTCGTCGGCTTCCTGGAGCTCCGGTTCCGCCTCGCCGCCCCTGAGCGATGACGGCCACGCCCACCACAGTCCACACAACATAATGTCGCCCCACGATGCGGCCAACGCACGCATACGCACAACATCGGTGTCCACATCCGACGAGGGCATTGTCATCGACTTCAAGGAGGAGCGCAAGAAAAAGGTGAGTGATTCGGTACACCTTCGATACCCTCCTCTAGAATATAAGACTAGATATCTAGATATCTAGCCAAAGGAAATCTAGATACAGGAATGCGGTCAGAGGAATCTGGGTTGGCGGCGGTGGAGCGTGACAGTTTGTTGCATTTTAATTGCAACTTTGTGTATAGATTTTAATTGCCATAATTATGTAAATGTCGGTCGGTTCTTGGCACGGCCACACGGCGTATGCTCGATGCCCCTTCCCATTACCCAATGCCCATTACTCATACGCAATGCTGCGAAAGAAACATATAGGTATAAAAAACTCAAATAAATGTCGAGAATGATTCTCGCCTAGCAGAATGCCAACGCATCAATCACACAAAAGGGCAATGTCAGCAGCTCGTTAACTTGGCAAACACGCACACAAGCACACACATCAGGAAGAAAATCAATAGGCCCTCCCTCCCTTTGTTACCACTCCGCTTCGCAGACATGTGTACCCACAGAGTTGGCTCTTTAATTAATTATGTTTGAACTTTAAGGGCCGAAGCCCGAAAATCGAAATCGAGAACCGACACAAAACTTACGCAACTGAAAACCAACCAAAACGAACGACCCCCACCCTTCCACACAAAACAAAAAAACTTCTGCCGTTTGTTTGCCCAACTAGTTACGCTTTTTCGCCCGCTCGTGTGTTTGGCTATTTCGTTTAGAGCTTTTAAGGGCTCTTAACAGCAAACACACAAAACCTAAAAACAACGAGCAGCGGCAAGAACAAATATCGAAGTGAGCAGCAGCCGCGGCAGAATATGCTAACCTTGAAAGTCTGATTAGATTTTCATATGGTGGTTATATGTTTTATTTACACGCCGTCAAGCCCCAAGTACACTGAAAAAATATCTTTACTGTATACATGAAATATATGTACACTACAAAAACTGAATAAAATGATTTTTATTAAAATTCTTAAACTTCGGTTTGATTTTCATTTGTTAATGTTTATTTAAAAACATGTACCTTTTAAATTTCACATCTAAAGTCAATTTAAGAATTTAGAACTTCAAGTAAATGTTTTATTAATTACAAAATATATACTCCTAAATTTAATCATTTAATGCGTTTGAATTAAATTAATTTAAATTATTCAAATAAATATCAAAAATTAAATTTGTTAGGTATTATTTTTATCAGTATGTCTTATTAAAAATCCTCTTAATATTATTAATTATCATTGCTGTTCTTCCTACAATTAATTATTTTTCAAAGTATGGTTTCTCTGACAAAACCATATTTAAATCAGAAAGACAACGCTTTGATTTTTGAAATTATATGAGATCTGTTTAGAATACCTAAAGAGCTATCGTTGAATCGAATTGACTCATCTTTCAAATTAAATCTATATCTACTGATAAATTCTGGCTAGGGAAACTGCCGGACTCTTCAAACCGTCTTGACTTCTCGCCCCAGTCCAATCAATTTTCCATTCATTACAATTAGTCAAACGCTTTCGAGTCTTCGCTGCCAGCAGTTGCACTTTCACTTTCCATACCTGTTGCACAACCCAGCCGAAAAAGCTGACCAAAGCGTCAAACTTCCTGCTCCGTCAGACTTACAGAAAAAAAAAAAGGAAAACGAAAAAAAGTCTGTGACTGGGAATGCGCATTTGAATTTATGTCAGAGTCAGGCGACCACGCCCACCGTTTTTCGGGGGCTGGGCAGACAAACAAACAAATGCACAAGCGAGCACAATGGAAAAGTTTATTTTGCCAAGGCGTGGCTGGTTAATTGAAAAGATATATGCCGCATTTCCGCATCTTGCATCTCGAATCTTGAATCTCGCTGGCCAGCGAAAACACAAGCCAGCTGGTTGGGATGAATAGATAGATAGATGGATGGAAGTACGATTGCTGAGAACGAATGCAATTAATGTCTAATTGTGCGCAATTATTGTCAGTTGTCAGCTGTGTGATGTGATGCCGCATCAGAATGCACTCGAATCTAGCAGATCTTCAAGGCGGCCACGTGGCGCATACGTAATGGCATCCAGCTGACATTACTCATACGCACCGTGGCGCGTGTTGCCAGATGCATCGATGATTAACCTTCGTTGCTCAAACCCCATCGTCATGCAACTCAAATGGAATCATATTATATTGACTTAAACTGTAGTGAAACACCAAGAGGGTCGACTCACTGCAGATCGTCAACAGTCGTGCGGGTTATTATTTAAAATGCAGATTTATGTGCATTCGCCATTTACCATTTACCGCCAGCCGTGACAATCAGGGCCAACGGAGCCTGCCTTTTAATCAAGGCCCTTTTGCAATTGCACTTCCATTAAGGCGAGCCCAAGGCAAAGCCAACCCCCAACCGCAATGGGTGGTTAAACCCTCTACCATTAATTTCCCAGCGAACACACACACATATGGAGTTCGCGATGGCCGCCAAGGGAAAGCTCGAGTGGGAAGGCCACAAGTCAATCCTGGAGGGGAAATTAAAAGAGCAATCAGAGCCGGCAATTCGCGGTGACAAACTCCACTCGACTAGATCTCATAGAATTTCCCCTGAATTTTCAAATTTTCCAACTTAATTGGGGGGCCAGCCCTTTGAGAGCTCAGCCGCATCAGCAACAGCATTCACTTTGTAGATGCGGCTAATTGCACACGCCATGTTCTCTCCACTCTAGTATAAACTTTTCAAATTCCAACTCACAGTATGGCATAGTTTATAATTTTGCTGTGTTTTTTTTTTCCAACTAATTTGTTTTATAATATCAAAAGGCAACAAAAACGGCAAAGCCCAAGCAAACAGGCAAATTATAGTGCACCGAGCAGACAGCGCGGCGGGTGATTCAGGGGCGGCGATGGAGGGGGGTTTACATTCTGGGCGGCTGAGGAGGGGACGGATGAGCGGCTGGCGTTGCGGTTAGCTGGCATTAAGCTTTCGCAATGCCTGACAGTTGAAACACAAACAAAAACAGTGGCGGGGGGTGAAGGGGGGGTGCAGGGCGGCGGAACTGCATTCGCGGCCAGCCAACATGGCGCGGCACACGTGTCTGTGTGAGCCTTGGCTTAGCTGCTTTGGCCTTTTTTTGACAAATGTGCGCGCGTTTTGCAGCTGGCAGCCAAAGGGGCACACTCTTCGAAAAACGAAACCCAAAAGTTAAGAAATAAGTTAGCGTCATGCCTTCAAAAGCAGAGTACCAAACACATTTGAGTGATATCATTTATAACGATTTAGAATATTTCTTTGGGTTTACATGTTGCCTTTAAAAATAGAGTTTACCAAATACAAGAATGGTATTACTTATAACCACTTAGAAAAATATTTTAGGCACTGCAATTTGTATTTAAATATATTTAAAATAGGCAAAAAGTACTCATTACATTTGTTTTAGTTAATATTGAATACTTCTGTATATATAGTGGTAAATTTGATATTATTAATAAAGCTAACTTATACAAATTTCAAAACCAATAGGTTCTTTTAAGCTGTTGCTAGGGGATTATTTTTATTATTTAAAAAATTAAATATTATATTAATTATTTTTAGATTTAAGAGCTATCTCTTTTTTATTTTAGAAAAAAAAACATATTGTGAACTTAGAAAAATGTTTTTGTGTCCAATAGAAATGCTTGAAACAAATATTTGTTTTTTGGATCTGAGTATTACAATTTTTATGTAACTTTTCTAATGTTCTGGCATAATTTTTTACGAGTGCAGCAAACAGCAGCATTTGCATTTGCATTTATTTTTAAACAGCTGCCGCTCTTTAACAAGTTTAAATTGTATTATTTATGATTTTCACTTACACCTCAGTTGCGCTTTGGCTTTGCCTTATTTCCTTCGCGTGTCTTCGCTTAACTTTCTGCAAATTATATTTATTTTTAAACCGAAAACCAGAGGAGAGCAGCACAGAAATATGGCAGAATTTAATTAAAATCGGTACGAGTGCCTTTGAGGGGCTCTGCAGCAACCTTGAGTCAACATTCACTCACCACAAAACACCACACACTCGAGCACCTCAGTTTCACAGTCTCAGAAAACAGAAATCTGAAATCCGAAAGCAGAAAACTGAACACTGAGTACAATTGCTGCCTTTGGCACTTTGTACAAAGACCATAGATCGACGTCAGCATCGCAGTCGTGTGTATTAATTTCACTCATATGGCTGTTAACCTTGAATTCTGATTAGGAAGCGATTTAAATTTATCTACAAGTCATTTTTCTTCGCTTTGGCACTCGCCTTTCGTTCGCATTTGCCGCTCGCCTTTATTGAGTTATTATTAAAAGTTAATTGTGCTGCTAAAAGCCATTTGGATGCCCTCCCCTTCGCAGTTTCCAACATCCCCCACCCCTCGACTTGCAATTTGTGGGGCATTAACAATTGCAAATGACTTGGCCAAAGTGTCGACATCTTGGCTGCGTTGGTAGATTAGGTAAACTCGGCTGGGGGCACGGGCACGGGCACGGGGCGTATGAGTAATGACTGGGAGGCGAACCAGCTGGGCACAAATGTAATTACACCTTAAGCAGAATAAATGACAGAGCAACTGACTGACAGCCGGGCAGCCTACACCTCGCAGCTCAAGAAACTGCAATCGATGGAAGGGCCAGGGAAAAACAAAGGGTTACAGAGCAAAAAATCATGGTCAATCTAATCTTTGTTCTTGTAAAATTAGTAACCGATTAGCTAGCGAGGAATAGAGGATGAATCATAATTTTAGCCTTTAACATAAGCACGTTATATATTGGAACTCCATCGGTAGACAACGAAAAGCCATTAACCGCCCAAGGAAATTACTAAAAACTCATACATGACAAAGGTTAAAGGAATGTGACTATGGTTTATCGAAAAATTATACTGTTAAAATACTTGGGTATTTTTAAAACTAAACCATTTAAACTTATCGCTAAAATTGACAAATGTCTCACGTCTGTTGCATTCAACAAGCTAAGGAAATGGTTTGGGCCATCCGTCAAAAGTCAGTTGCAGGAGTGCCCAGAGATCTGCACACA